TCCCTTCAGTTCTACTAGCATTCATGCTCGCGTATTTCCCTTCTTTTTTTTCATCCCTGTTTCAGTTATGAATCTTCTTCAAGTCACTTATGCTCGTTACCGCCGTATATACAGTAGTTAGTATTCAGCTCAGATTTGCAGACCGTTTTACAGGCGGAAGAGGGGAGTTGCGCGTAAGATACAGTTAATTCGCAACCACAAAGGATACTGGTATGTGGATAGCGCAATATTCTCCTCCCTAATGTGGTGACCCATTGTGCTCACCCCAAACTAGATCCTATCTCAAACGGCAACTGGCGTTTAATAACAACATTTCCGTGATATGCATCGTTGTTCGCTTATTGTTAGTTTAATTTTTGTAAGACGAGCCAAGAGTACATTGCCTTTTTGGCGCGATCACAGAAACATGTCACGAGAAAACTAATCGAAGTAATTTTATGATTTATTTGTTTGGATCGAGTTTCAAATATTTGCGTTTCATTACTCGCATTGTATAGCATTATAAAGAATTTTATGACCGAAATAATAATAACCAAATAATAATAAATAACAATAATTGATTCTTTCGTAAAAGAATTAAAGGATTAATTATCTAATTTTTAAGCGAAAACTTGGAGAGACGCTCAATGCTAAAAAATAAAATAGAATTAATATTTTAATTTTCCAACACAAGTTTTGTCAGGAGAACCAACTCAAACTTTATTAATCTAACTTAGCAGATGCGCGAAATCTTGGACGACTTTATGTAATTTGACGCTTTGTTCTTCTAAACGAAGACGAAGCGTTCCTTTTTCTATTCGAATTTCCTAAATAAATTACCCTCGCGTGATTATGAGACCAGGAGAGTATGTAAAATGCCTATAATTATTCTTTTCTTTACTTGACCACGCAATTAAAATATTAATTATGAGTTTCTGTCCGCCCTACTACAAATAAATCAGGCAACTAAGACATTAGGCGAAAGATTAAACGACAACAGTTCATCAAGATTGTAATATAAATAAATCGACAGCGCCGGCGGCAATTGTTTGATCGATATTGGGACCACGTCACTCATTACATAATATTACGCCATATTACATAATATTACAGAATGTTACTTGTAACCCGAACGCAAATATAAATTTCGCAGACCCACGAATTGTAGATCTGTCGTTGCCAAGCGCTACCAAAGATTTATGGAAATACATAATTTTCGGATGACCCATTTCCAATTCTTTAGTTCTAATGTCAAACTTGACGTTATCACGATATCAACACGCGTTTTATTGCGTAAGAGAGATCACGTATATCATAACAACTTGAAAATGAACGAAAAATTACAGAGCTTGCTTTTTTAGGGCTGTGTTTTCTTACTATTTAATATCAAAACGGTAAAACTGCAAAAGCTGCAATATTAATAATTCTGAGTTATAGAATCATAACTCAAATATATAATCTCATGTCAATGCATTGGTAGATGTTGCGAGTGTAATGTTGAGAGATCAGGAAGTTTATACATAAAAATATTTGTCAAATTTGAATGATTTAATTATAGAATTTATGGAAGCAGCGTATACAAGAATGAAAATAAAAAAAAATACATCATCTCACTCCTCGATAGCTCACTTCTCGAAGGAGAATGACGATCGAGAGTGACGCCGGACTTGAACGCGTCATACACGGCGTGTTTACGGCTCTCATGGTCGATTAATTTCACGCGACGTCATCGACGATAAACTGACATGATTACGGATGGGGTGAAATTACAAATGCGCGATCGATCGATCGAAGGACACTATGACTATCTCCAAATTACGCCCGGAAGGGCATGGGTTCTAGGACGGGATACTCGGCAGCGTATTAATATCCCTCGCATCGCATCGCATCACATTGCATCGTATCGTATCACGTCGTATCGCATCGCATCGCATCGCATCGCATCGCATCCAATCGCATCGCCTCGGGTGCTCAATCTTGAAACGATGTACTTCTCCCAGCCATCCAGAAGTGGCAGTCGGGGACGAACTTCTATGAATTTTCGCCTTTCTATCGCACACTCGGCGATGGTAAAAACTTACGAGCGAATGCGCATTCACGGTTGATGTTCGAACGATAAAATTAACGAGCATCGTTTAGTTCCGAGACACGCGATCCGACTTAGCGTCATTCCAATCGGATAACAGCCGAACGCGAAAAGCAGACCCCGAAGACTCGCAGGAAAAGCGATTAAAGACCTCTTATTATCGTGTGACACGCCTATAAACGGGTGATAAAAAAATCACATAAATCGTTTTTTTCCGAGTTTTAAGGCGATATATATATATATATATATATATATTTTATATA